CATGGAATATGGAATTGTAAACTAGCCTTGATCCCACATTAGCTTCACAACTCGTTAAATAATAATAAGATTGTTATTAAGGTCACTACTCTCTCCTCTTTATTGGTTGTGAAGACAGTTGTCCATCTGCAGTAAATAAATCTGCTGTGAATTTGTCCATTTTCAGGCAGAAATCATCTTCTGATTCAGTCAGACTGGACTGACGAGTGTTATGGTCTGTGGTAAACTCAGAATCAGAATATTTTATTAATCCCTGATGAAATTTTGTGGCCACAGTTGCTCCAAGACAATAAGAACAGTTACTGACCAAACTTAATCAAATAATACTATAAATTACAAGGTTACAAAATATAATAAAATAGCTCAATTATAAATATCCCAGTATGTAGCACAAATTAAATAAATTAAATTAAATTAAAATTGCCCCTCTTATCAAACTTTTGGAGCTCTGGTCTCTTGTATTCATGTCGCTGAATCAGAGTTCTTTAATCTGAGAGCTCAGTGCACTACATGCATACAATAGGTAAATAAAATCTCAGTTCATTACTGAATTTACTTCTTCACATAAAACGTTGAAATCCCAAATTATTTTTCGTAGTTGTCATGGCCTGTCATTGATTTCAGGCAGGTGCGATGCCTCCAGACTTACCAACACATCTGTTGGTTATATTCCTGCATCAAACATGTCTGCATCACTGATTATAAGTTCTTATGTCTCTGTTCCCTCTGGGCAACGAGGAGGACAGGTGCCAGCTTCAGATCCCAGCAGAAGGGCAAGTTGGCATCCTCACTGTTTCCACCTCCTTCTCCCTGCCCCCACTGCCAACAACCCTGGCACATCTGTGGCCGTCCAGCATGGCTAGTGCCAACTACCCTGCGCCCATTGTTCTCCCCTGAATGCATCCAACGCCCATGGGAAAGAAGGCTGAACACAGCGTGGCGCAATCTACACGGCCTGTTAGATAATCTCAAGACATGAAAAGATTCTCTTAGCCTAGATTCTAGAAACAGCTCTTTGTCTAGCAGGACGGGGGAAGGAAAACACACGATGGTGTTTTCTCCAAAGGTTCTTACCAAATCAGCTCTAGTTCTTTTCTCTTTTTTTCACATGCGTTGGAGTAAACAAAGCCTTGTATGAGCTTAGTATCACATTCTACGTTCGCATTTGACTTTTATTATATGTAAAACACTGGTTATCGTATGAAAATCATCACCCTTAAGGATGTTTTCCTTTTTGATTCACCGATAGCTCGAACTGATTTTGAAATAGCTTCTGTTCGTTTCACTATCTTCACATTAGTATCATCATTTTGGGTGGGGGAGGCAGGATCGGGAAATACAAAAGAAAGGCAGTAACCACATTAACCCTGGAGAACCAATGGGGTCAGAGCCGACCCCATTGGTTTTCTAGGGAAACCATGGGGTCAAATTTGACCCCATGGTTTCTCCAGGGTTAATTTGCTCTGATCAACCATCAGTTATGTGTACTTGTATTTTCAGTTTTGCCTCCACTTGTTCAACCCCAAACAGAAACAGCTTTAGGGATTAAACATGTCACATGGTGAAGCAGGACTGAGGGTCATTTATTAGTGCGTATGCATAAATGGACTGGTATTTACAGAGCACCTTTCTTTTTTTTTGCTACAAGCCACATTGACCCATTCATACAAACATTCATATAATGCTTTTTTCTATGCATTTAAGCATTTCTCTAACTAGCATGCATAAACTCACATCTGATGTATGAATGGGGGGCAGTTCAATATCTTGCCCAAGAACACTGACATTCAGCTACAGGAGGAGTCGGAGTTACCTGCTGTTGTATTTATACAGTGTAAGCATGGGTATTGGCACATATAACTACTTGGAGTGGTGCTTATTTTCATGCTGTCTCTTGCCCTCTGTACTGTTCATAACCTAAACCTGACTCGATATTCTAATTAAGGTACAAAACTCGTGATGGTCCTCACAACAAGTGAATAATAAAGCCTCATATGAAGACAAACTCTTCAAAAAAGCCTGCAAATCAAAGCCTTCTGGCAGCGTCCCACGAGCTGTTTACGAGCTCTGATTATGGCCCCTGTTAGCCTGGTAGGATTCCTGGCATGTCAGAGGGTTTAACAACATCCAAATCACTGTCTGAGTTCTCTCAGCTCTTCCAGGCTGCCCTGTCTGTCAATTTCTACCGCACATACACTCACACAGAACCGGCTCCAACAGCCACGAGGGAGCACTGAGGAAGGGAATATCAGACTACAGTGAGCAAAGATCCTGTTTTGTCATCACTTGCTTTTGCATGCTGTAATTAGTTTTACTAATAACAGTAAACCTAACAGTTCTTTGATGAACTGTGAAGGCCTTTTGCGATTTAAAGTAAATTGATTTGTTTTTTTTTTAGTCATTCAAAGGGTAGAAAACGCTGTAAAAGTTGCTCACTCTGTTTGTCCTCCTGTCTACAACAAATTTTTTTTTATATATGTGTAGTATTTGCACAGAAGCCATTAGAGGAGACTTCTTGTTATTACTCATTTACAATTTATTGTTTTATCAGCTCTGACTTTATTGAAGTCTGGTCCTTAAAAGCCAAGTGGGAGCACTTAAACACATGCACTTGTTTACACGCTGCACATAAAATGCTCATATGTTTGCGAAAATGCATTTGTGCACTTGTCATACTCCTGCACCATATAGCAATTTGTTCAGTTAACATTGTAAGGAGATCCCCAGAGAGAGATTAAATTAATGGGATAAATTTACGGTGCAGCCACACTCTGATTTATGCACGCTGACAAACACACATATGTCTTGGGCTCA